TTGAGAGAGACAGACTGGAGCCTTGTGTTGAATGTGTATTGGATGCTATTGTTGGGGGTGGGGAGGAGTGAGCAGGGTGAATAGAGGAGGTGTGACCAATGATTTATAAAGAAAAATGATGAAAATTATCAGGGGTGCCCAACCTTTTGCATACCACTGTATTTGGAGCGGAAACTGCATTTTTAGAATAACCTTGCAGTATAACAGTAATTATCATAATAGTGATTAATTTGTCTAATCTGTGCTATCTTTGTCTCACATGTATATGTATTTGTGTCACAGTAACTGAAGATAAGGACACTGATGAAGTGACGTTAAACTGCTCTCTGCTGACATATGAGGACTGTCGCCACACAGTGAAATGGCTGTTAAATGGTTACAATGTAGACAGAACTAACAACCTAACAGAAAGATCACAGACTGACTGCTTCACCACTGTGTCTTTTCCAAATTCTCACAATTCAAACATCTCAAGGGATAATATAGTGAAGTGTCAAGGAACTCATACTAACACAAGCAAAGTACTCTTTACCATCATCCATCAGGCCTCTGGTGAGGAAGCTGGTGAGATTACAATCAGTTGTTGAACATGAATGGCTGGGTATAAAGTTTGGATGCAGATTTATTTTATTTTTTTCACAACAAATGAAAAAACTAAAAAATGTTTTGATTCTGATTTTTCATTTATTTAGTTGGGACAAACAAAACAAAGAATCCAGCCAGAAAAACTGTAAGCAGCACAACATCAGTAACAACCACAGCCGTGAAGGATATTTCAAAAGGTAGTCCCTCAAACATTCATCCTTTTGTTATGAATTATTGATTCCTTTTGATTAATAATGTTTTTGTACACTTAATTTAGACATGTCAGATTTGATAAATGACAAACCTAAATAAGAACTACATAAAGAGAAAAGTGGTCTCCATCCACTCATCCCCAACTGGGGTATTGCGGTATTGAGCCACAAACCTCCTGACTGGTAGAAGACCAATCAGCTGCCTGAAAAAAAAAGCAAAAAAACCCCAAACAACACTTTTGTTAATATGAAATATTAATCATTAAGTGATCATAAAACTAATGCTTGACAGATGTTTCACTTTACTGCAAGATCACTTAAAGACAAGCATTAAAATCACAATAATGTTCACATAGCTTATCAATTTTTAAAACATTTTCAAAATGTAGCAATTTTTTCCTTAAAAATGAAACAATTTAAAAACAGAAGAAGATTCTAACCAAATGATCTTGATAATTAACAGTTTTTGATTCTTTTTACAGATTTTTCCATCTCTTTGAGGTTCATTATAGTTTCGGTGGGTTTAGCAGCACTTATAATAACTGCTGTGACAGTCAACATTAGGACATGAACCAAAGGTAAATTTTACAAAAAGAACATTGAATGATTGGGAATTTTCATTCAATACTGAAATTGCCATTTTTCTCTCCTTTTTAAGGAATAAAACACGACGGATAAAACCAGAGTAAGTAGAAAACTCAGTAATCCAACATAAAAAGTTGAAAGGTTGGGTTTCTGATATTTTATTTATAATAACTGTAGATTATGTTGATGTACAGGTGGCACTAAAAGAACAACAAATCAGCTCATCTCTGAAGGACTGGTACCAGATGTAACTGGACTAGACTGTTTTTCAGGGACTGAGTTTAAACTCTGCAGGGACTCAGTCCAACCCTCAAGCCTGTCAGGACACATCACCACAATGATATGTTTTCCCCCACAGTTACATTATGACAAAGACGATGATGTCACGGAGGGCAAGCCGTGTGGAATTTAATGAAGGACTCAAGATGCAGGAAGCTTTCAGATGCGAGTGAGTTTTATTAGGAAGGTGAAATAAACAGAAACGCAGTGGGCAAAAAACAGAACCTGAGGATAACCTAAACTGGGGGAAACTGACAACAACAGACCTGAACTGGAGATGCAGGGAGACTCGGGGAAACCACACAGGAAAACGCAGGGAAATACACAGGATGAAGGAGGGAAATAACGCAGACCAACCAGCAACGCACACGAGAAAACACAGGGCTTAAATACACACAGGGCAATCAGGGAATGGGAGACACTCCAGTAATGAACAGACATTTCTGATCTAATTTTATGGGTTCAAGCTATTGAATGTAAGATGTAGATGATGAGATTTTAATATTAATTGTTGGTTATTTTTGTGTTTCAAGCTTTCCTTTTAGTCCAATTGAATGTGTTTTAATCTTGCATTAATATACTTCATGTTTAAAATCTGTATCATCATCCCTTTTTATCCTTCTGAGACCCAGAAGGAAAAATGTTTAGCTGGCATTATAGTTGGGTTTTTGATTCATGCACAGCTTTGATTAAAAGGCTGACCCCTGAAATGTTCTATTACATTCAGTGTAATTTCCCAGGTCTTTTATAACTGTTTTAAACAGAATGTGAACCAGATGTGTTTGTGGTAAATTAAAGTTTATTTCTATTTCAAAATATTAAATGGTTATTAATGTTTGACTAATATTCTTAGCTGTCTTTTTTCCAATATTAGAGAGAAGAGGGCTGCATTGGTGGAAACATTTATCTTAACA